GGCCACTGAAATCTGGTTCTCCAAAGCCTTCTGCCCCAGGAAGAATGCCCAGGACCATCCCATTGGGACGGTGACAGCCCTCGGCCACACTTCCCGAAGGCCGGAGCGGCGCGCCATTGACAGCAGCTCCTCGGCCCCGGGCCAATCTACGAAGCCCCTCTCAAACTCCTCCAAGGTCAGGGAGGGGTAGCAGAAGTAATCCTTGAGCTCGGCGGAGTTCTCGAGGCTGTGGAAATAATCCTTGACGTCGGCCCCGGCGAAGTATAGGTCATGGTCGCCAGCGGGCCGCTCGACGCGGGCCCAGGCCGCGCCCGTCCCCATATCGAGGCTGGGCGCTGGGCGGAAGTGCAAGTTCGACCACCTGCAATCCAGGATGAGCCGAAGATTCTTGTTCTTCTTCTCGACGAAGAACGGTGTGCATGTCTCCTTTGGGGTGACAGAGAAGTCCACCAGCCCAGCGCCCAGGACGTCTGCGATGAAGCCAACGTAAGCTGACCGACCTTTGCGCAGCACCTCGTCCATGTAGAGCTGTTGAGGCGTACCTGACTCCATCTGCCATCCAACGTCATCTGGGTCTGGCAGCATGCCGACCGCTCCAACAAAGTCCTCTCCGGCCCCCCGCACGCGGCACTGAGCGGCACTGGGGACGCACCAGCTACGGGTATGGATACCAGAGAGCGTTGGTAAGGTCTGACGGCAGTGGCTTGATCGACTCCCGCGTAGTCGATCACAGTGGGCATGAGCTCATTGAAGGCCCCGTGCCTGGTGTACAAGGATTCGTTGTATGGCAGCTGCCCCACCCTCCGGAGGACGGAGCTCTGAGACGTAAGCTGGGCGAGACTCGGACTGGCCGTGGCCGAAGCCCCAGGAGCCGCGCCGGCCATCTCATTCAAAACTTCGAGGACTTCATTTGCCCTCTCCTGGACTCCCGCACGTCGCAGTAGTCGCCGACGAAGGTAACCAGGCGTGCCCGGGCGGATAGCTGGCTCCGCTGGCACAGGTGGAAGGGGAAAAAGTTCCCGAGGCCGATGTCGTCGCCCATCGTGACGAGCCCCCACATGACTCGGGAATGAATTCTGATGCAGCGCCTGCTTGTCGGGACGGGCCGGCGCTCTCCCGCCCCCGAGGCCAGCCATGGACTTAGCCATTTCCGTTGTCGTCGTTCTTCTTCCTGTTTGGGTTCTGCTTGCGCAGGCGTTGCTCCTCCTTGGCCTTCCTCATCTCCTTGGCCACGGCTGCCTCCCCGCGAACCTGCTCGGCCACGTGGCTCCGCAGACCTGGGTCCGGGACGGCCCCGGACCGCCTGGTCGACCAGCCCATGTAGTGGTCCGCCGCGCTGTAATCAGCGATGCCGCCAGAGGCGTGCGCGTCCTCGATCAGCTGGAGACGCCGGCTGATCAGCTCCGCCGACTTCAACGCCGGCGCGTTCAACTGGTCGACCGTGCACATCGCCTCCATGATGTGGGAGAGCGCCTCGTGCTCGTACGGGCTGCGGTCCCCGTCCGGAATCCGAGCCGCGTGCCGCCAGTGCTCGCTCTGCGTGATCGGCGTCTGGCTGGACACGGCGAGCTGCTGCAAACGGTTGGAGCACATCCTCGGCCCGGTCAAATCGAGCCCCCCCTCCGGCTCCTCTCCCGCCATCTTCTGGACGGACTCGGCGAAGGGGCGGCGACGTTGACCAGCGCCGTCGAACTTCACTGGCAGTACGCGGAGGTCCTCCATGACATACTGCTCCAGATTGCGCCGCTCGACCATCTGTATGAAGGCGGTCCCCTCCTGGAGCTGCACGAGCCCGTGGTCTCCCATCGTCACCGCGTCGGCTGGCAGCGCCCCGACTGCATCGCCTCGCCGATGGCCCTCGCAATCCTCGGCGTACACCCAGAGGCGGCCTGGCGGCGCTGCCGCCGCCGCCGCTCCCGCGGGGACGGCTCGGGGAGCCGCCGCCAACTCCGCACCTGGGGCTGGCCTCTGCCTCTGCTGCAAAGCCGGCGGCGGCGCGATGTTGCCGAGCATCAGCGCCGCGTCCCTGTAGTACTGCCGCAGCACCTGTGCCGATGGCACCTGCCGGAACCGATACACGTGGCGAGCATCGACTCCTGGCGGGGTCGCCCACTGCATGCCGATCCATCTCACCTCGAGCACGTCGTCGCCGATCTCGATGCTCTGGGGGTAGTGGTCCCCGTCTGGCGTCGCCATCGTGATCGTCGTCGGCGTCGCAACCGAGACTCCTGTCACCAAAGCCTCATGATAAAGGGGCTGCCCAGGCTCGTTGTAGAGCAGCAAGATGTAGTCTCCGGGCGCCGCCATCACTCCAGCGAGTGGGTCGATGCGGGACCCGCGTCGGGCGCCGACCTGAACTGGAGCGCGGCCCGCTGCCGGGCCCTCTCGGCCTGCTCACGGGCCCTGGCGACCACCTCGGCCTGCTCGCGCGCGCCGGCCACCGCCTCGGCGCGCCCCCGCCCGCGGCGACGGCACCCGTCCCGCAGGCACTCGTTGAAGCGGACGGCAAGGTGGAGGACCACCGTGCCGAGAGGGCCCAACGCGAAGGCCCACGCAGGGGGCGCCTCTGGGCACCCCGGGCAAGGCGGGCACGGCGGGGGCTTCTCGCACCCCGGGCACGCCGCACAGGGCGGCGCTGGCCCGCACGCCGGACAGGCCGGGCACGAGCAAGGGGCCGGCTCGCACGCAGGGCAAGCCGGGCAGGTGATATTGCACGCAGGGCAGTTCAGCCCGCCCGCGGCCCACGCAGCAGCCGCTGATCCCGCGCCGGGCAACGCCTGCTCGAGGAAGTGCCAGCCCAGGGCCGCCCAGCCGGGCGCAGCCACCAGCGCCAGCTGCCGGTGGTGCCCAGGAGCGGCCATGCACGGACCCCAACTCTCCCCAGAAAAGTTCGAGCCCTAACGAGTACGGAGGAGAGAAGCGTACAGACTGCAGAAACAAGTGATGCAAGCTACTTCTAAGCTGTTACATTGAAATGCCATTGCGTTCATTAGAGTGGTGCGAGAGGACGCGCAAACAGCGCTGGAAAAACAGGCGGGGGGGAAATTCTGTACAAAACGATTGTTTTGTACAGAATTTCCCCCCTTGAACTTTTTCCTAAGAAAACCGCTCTGTAAACAGATGTCATACTCACAGCTCAGAGGGCCCTTGGATCATCCTGCAGGTGGCGTTCTTTGCAGTACCGCGTGGCGTCTTTTCACGTCAGCATAAGTGTGCACGCACAAGAAATCATCACATCATCATCATCATCATCATCATCATCCTCCTCCTCCTCCTCCTCCTCCTCCTCCTCCTCTCTCCTCATCATCATCATCATCATCATCATCATCATCATCATCATTCATCCGCCTCCCCCTCCTCCTGTTTCTCCTCCCTCCTCCTCCTTCTCGTGCTCCCCTCGTGCTTCTCCTCCTCCTCCTCCTGCCCATCATGCTCCTCCTCCTCCTCCTCCTCCTCGTCCTCCTCCTCCTCCTCCTCCTCCTCGTCGTTGCTCCTCCTCCTCCTCCTCCTCCTTCTCCTCCTCCTTCTCCTCCTCCTCCTTCTCCTGCTCCTCCTCAACCTCCTCCTCCTCGTGCTCCTCCTCGTGCTCCTCCTCCTCGTCCTCCTCCTCCTCCTCTTCCTTTTCCTTGTGAATAACTCCTCCCTGTCGCACCCCGAGGCCAGTCGGAAGGGCGGGTGGGGCATTTCGCCTGAGCCTTCCTTACCAATTACGAGCCTGAAGTTGAAGGACTACTGGCAACACAGTCTCACAGATGGAGGGTGGGCCGTTTTCAAAATGTGGCTCTCGCCCTAGCGCCGCGCACAACCGGTTGAACAAATGCAAGGGTTTCACGGATTGAGGTCGGGTCGTTTTCAACATGTTGTTCTTGCCTTAGCATCGCGCACATCCGTTTAACAAATGAAAGAGTTTAACATATTGAGGGCGTGCCGTTTTCAAATCGTGGCCCTCGCCTCAGCGCCGCGCACACTCGTCTTACGGGTGATTTTCAAAATGTGGCTGTCGCTCTAGCGCCGAGCACACTCGTTTACACAACTTGCACGAGCTTCACGGATTGAGGCGGTTCCTTTTCAAACTGTGGCTCTCGCATCAGCGCCGCGCACATTAGTTCTGAACAACTGAAACAGTTTCACGGTTTCTGGAACGACCAGGATTGTCAAGGCGCAACAGTTGCGTTGATTCGCGGTGTTGAAGTCCTAGGAATGGTGTTCTGGCAGGGTTCAAAATTGTCAAGACGCAATCATCTGGTTAATTCGTGGCGCTGAAGTTCTGAGAATGGCACGCTATAGGATTTGTCACATGGTTGTCCCCCAGCGGGCTATTTCCCTCAGTGGAAATGAAGCGTTGTAGGGGTCAATGAAGAGTGAGCTTCGAGGGAGGGTGCATCCCAATATCGTTGATGAGTCTTGGGTATGCACTGGTCCTCCTCCCTCCTCCCCATCAGCGATAGATGCCTGTCTGGGGGTGGATGCATTCCCCCCTGAACCTTCCGCCCCTGACATTTCCCCTGATCCTCATGAGCAGCCGGCCCGAGCCGGAAGGGCAAACAAGTATCAATATCGCTACTTCCCAGACCTCTCGCGGGGTGCGTTCTGGCCAGGATTGTGAGGCGAAGCCAGCCGTGGTGAAGAGGACCCTCCGAGACGAGCAGCAGTATCGATACCCTTTCTTCGGCGGCGAGCCCGGGGGGGAAGCGAGAAGGGGTGGGCCTTCTCAGAAGGCTTGGAACCCCCGCGCCTTCCGAGAAATTTTCTAAACCTTCCCCGAAGACTCAGAAAAAGCCCCTCAGAATGCCGGAGGCCTCCCAAGCAGGCCCACCGCCTTCCGAGAAAGCCTTCTCCCCTACCACTTCCCCCCTCGCTCGCCGCCGACTTCGTCCCCTGACGAGCTCCGCCCCCGGCGCGCCCTTGGCACGCCGTTTTTTGACAAGGTTTTCTCCCTATCACTTCCCCCCTCGCTCGCCGCCGACTTCGCCCCCTGACGAGCACCGCCCCTGGCGCGCCCTTGGCGCGGTTCTTCACCTCGGCCACCAGCCGCAGCTTGCCGGCCTCGTCTGGGGGCTCCTGGAGGAGGAGGAGGAGGAGGAGGAGGAGGAGGAGGAGGAGGAGGAGGCGGAGGAGGAGGAGGAGGAGGAGGAGGAGGAGGAGGAGGAGCAGGAGGAGAGAGGAGGAGGAGGAGGAGGAGGAGGAGGAGAGGAGGAGGAGGGAGGGGAGGAGGAGGAGGAGGAGGAGGAGGAGGAGGAGGAGGAGGAGGAGGAGGAGGAGGAGGAGGAGGAGGAGGACGCCAGGGCCGCCGGCGTCGGGGACACGAGGGGCCCGCGGCGGCGCCGGGAGGCGCGGTGGAGCGCCAACGTCTGGGGCCGCGGCGGAGCTGCGGCCGCCGGCGGCTGGGGCCCGCGGCGGAGGCGGGAGGCACAGTTACAGGGCCTAAAAGTATACACCGGGCTTACAGTCGGTGAGGCGTTGACCTAAGGAACCCTAACTAAGGAACGAGGCCCCTTTTTCCCATGAGATCCACCTCGATTTCCGATGGAAGACCTCTGGAAAACCCGAGGCAAGCTGCCAAACACTTAAGGAACACCGACCCCCTCCCCGGCGAAAAGGGTTCCTTCTTCAGGGCCCTGACTGTATGTTGCTCCCATCGTACTTAAGGACCAGATCCCAGAAATAATTTCGAGCACCCAGAAGAGTGTCGAAAGGGTGTCGAAAGAATGTCGAAACAGCGTCGGGCGAGTGTCGCCCAGGGCCCGACACGTGGAAACCCTCGAGTTTCGATGTTGTTTTGATGCTCGAAACTCTGTCTGGTGATCAAGGCTAAAGTAGGTTGGAACATCAGAACGCTGGGCCCGAAACTATGCACCTCCCTCGCCCCCACCTTCGCCCAGGAGAGAAGGAGCGGAAGAGGACCGAAGAGGAGGGAGGGGGACTGGAGGTGGTGGTGGTGGTGGTGTATGTGCTTGGGACCCGCAGCCGTGCGGGACATGAAGGGCCCGCGGCACGAACGCGATAAAACAATGCGATCAAAACGCGATAACATGCGATAACTAATACAAAAGAACAAAAAGCAGCCACGTTGCTACAGATGTGCTACAAAAATAATCAATGCGAGAAACCAAACGCGATACCATGTGATACGAAAAAGCGTGATAGCATACAATCACATGGATCATTGATGAACATGTTATCGCGTCTCTTTATCACATTTTGCGGCGGAGCTGGGATGCGCAGTGGGGCGCGCGTGCGAGGCGACGGACGGCTGGCGGCCGGCAGCCGCTGGCGGCTGGCGGCGGCTGGCGGCGGCCGGCGGCGGCGGCGGCCCCGCCCACAGCGCCTGCGACCCGCCGGCCGTGGCGCAGTGGGGCGCGCCTGCGAAGCGGGGCTGTGTGTCGCGCTCTCGCGCTGCGCGGAGCACTGGAGCGCGAAGCACGACGCGCTCTGGCGCCGCCCTCCCTGGGGACGCGCTCTGAGTCACTGCGCCGACCTTGCAGACGTGCTGCAGCGGATTTGTGCGTGTATATCTAACAATGCAAAACCCCGACACGGCGAATGAAAAACGAATAGAATTTCGAGTGGATGTTTTTCAATCTTCATTCCGGGCCCCAAAAAATCCGCACGAAATTCCCCTCGAAATCCGGAAAGAAATTCTCCAGGACACTCTGGGCCCGTCCTGTCGTTGTCCGAGCGAAATCCGCTCTGCGGTGTTGGCGCCATGACGCTCTGGCAGGAATGTTTCGAGGCAGATCCGGCCGCGGCGACGACTAGGGCTCCCAACTTCGCGCTTCGCGCTGCGCGAAGCGCGAAGCGCGAATAACTTCGCGCTCTCGCGCCGCCCCCCCAAAGGGAGAAAAGGAGGACGAGGAGGAGGGGGAGGAGAAACGAGGACCGCGAAGCGCGAATAACTTCGCGCCCTCGGGGGAGCCCTTGGAGTAGCGGCAGCGGGGAGCGGGACGATGAGAAAGACGAGCCCGGTGCCACGCAACCGGCACGGCGGGCCACGACTCGCGCGAAGCAAAAAGCTGCTCTCACGCCCCTGGCACACCAGGAGGAGGAGGAGGGGGAGGAGGAGGAGGAGGAGGGGTCGGGAGGAGGAGGAGGGGTCGGGAGGAGGAGGAGGAGGAAGGGGCGAGACGGAGGAGGAGGAGGGGTCGGGAATCGCCCACGGCTTCGCGCCCCCGTGGCGGCCCTGGAACAAAGGAGCGCCCCCCCCCTCCTCCCACGCGGCTCGAGGCGGGCACGTCCCGGGGAGAAGAGAAGGACGAGGTGGAGGGAGGAGGAGAAGGAGGAGGAGGAGGAGGAGGAGGAGGCCGCGAATCGCCCACAGCATCGCGCCCTCGTGGCGGCCCTCGAGTGAAGCAGCACTCCCCCCCCCTCCTCCTCCGCAGTTCCAAGTAAAACCGCGCGGGCAATCAAACTCGACATGCCCGAGCTCAGCCTCGCGTTCGGGGGAGGGAAGGGTCAATCCATGTGTTCCGCGCGAATGCTTCTTAATTGTTTGCGACGCCT